CGAATCAGCGACTGTTGCTCAGAGCTCACGCTCTTGAGCAAGCTCTTAACCAACTGAGCCACTCTGCTGGCCCCTGGATGCCCCTTAGTAATGCCCAGCCTATTTGTGGGAGGAATTGGGAGGGTTCCTACTCCTCCCTGTTGCCTGTGAGAAAAGGGAACTGTGACTATCAGAGGGACTGGGAAGACAACTTCACATTGCCAGGCCTGCTCCTTGTGGGAGTCTGAGAGGCACGTGTCTGTCTGAGGGCACATGTATTATTCAGGATTAGTTCGTGTTTCAGACCATTGAAAACCAAAAGAAGCATGGCTCAAACATATTGAAACTGATTTCCCTCACATGTTAAAAGTAGGCAGTGTGGGGCTTGTAGGATGACTTTATAATTCTTCAGGAAGCAGGTTCCTTCATTCTGCCCTACGGCTCTGCCATCTTCAGTTTGTGACTTCTAAACTGTTTTATAGGAGAGCTACTCAAGCTCTAGCTGTCTTGTTTGCATTGTTGCTGACAGGAAGGACAAAGACAGGCACGCCCTACCCTTCAAAGATACTCCCTGACGTCTTTTTTGTTTTTAACATTTTAGTGGCTGGGTGGCTCAGCTGGTGAGAGCACGTACTCCTAACAACAAGGTTGCTGAGGTCTTATTTATATAAAACTTTGCTTGCATCCCTGGGGCAACAACCTAGTTACCTGGCCGTATCTGCCTGCAGTAGAGGCTGGGAAATGTCAACTTGATTTTGGGCAGCCGTGACTCCAGCTGAAATTTCTATTACTAAGGAAAAATGGAAGAACAGATCTTAGAAGTTAATGAGTAATCTTTGCCACAGAGAAACATGGGGATTTGTTTCTGCTTTAGGGTTGGGTCTAGATCTGCTATTTGAGTACTCTTTTCTTAGCAGCAAGCCCCCAGAGAGCCTTGAAGACCCTCATATGGGTCCCACACTAATTGGGGTAGAGTTTCTCGCAAGGAAATGAGATCAGGAAAAGAGGGAAGGCTTGGATGTTTTACTGGGGCTCATTGAATTCAGACCTGTTGTCTTGTGTTTGAGCTCTGATAATCTGTGGTGTTAGATGGGGATGGGAGTTCCCGGAGGCATGGAGGGGTGGGGTTCAGATGGTGAAATTTTGTTTGTTAATTAGAATCAGGAAACCATTCAGGGGACTTGGCTTCTGCTTGGTAGACTGTTTTCAGAGCTCTCTATTCTCTGGCATGGCTGATAGTTGGGTGAAGCAAGCAAGGTGCCTGGGGCCAGCATTTAAGGATGATTTGCCAAGTGGCCCTCTGGCAGTGAGTGCCTCCTTTTGTGCTCTCAGAACCCTACTCACTCAGCCTACTCCTGGCCTTTCTCCCATTTATTTTTATTGAGAAAGCCCTGGCCTTGTTCCCATTTATTTTTATTGAGAAAGAAGCACAAGTGCATGGTAAATAAGTCAATGTATAAAAGGGTATACAATGGGAAAAGTCTCTCCCTCTCCAAGCTGTAGTCTTCCTCCCCAAAGGCAGCCACTGTGCCCAGGCTCCTTTGTACAGTGCCAGCTGGTCTTTCAGAAGGGACTCTGCAGGGACTTCCATGAGGTGCTACCTTCACTCATTTCTTCGGCACTAGACATTGAATTCCCACTGTGCACAACGAGGACCCAGCCAAAGGGGAAATTTGTAACAGGGTGGACGGAAGGCGAAGGAGCAGAGGCGAGAGGAAGGTGGGGCAGAGGAGGATGTCAGCTTCTCTTACTAGAAGGGAGAAGGTAGCACCGCATCTTGGTGCTACCAAGCAGGAGCACAGTGAGCACAGCTACAACATTGTGAGACAGTCTCTTTCTCTGTGTGTTTGCCCATCTTTTTCTCTCTCTTTGTTCCCTTCTCTTTGTCTCAGCCTCCTTGTCTTTGGCTTCTCTGTCTCTGTCTTCTGTGTATTTCTGTGTCTTTCTCCATCAGTCTTCTCCCTCACAAGCTGTACACCCCTCTCACTTCTTTCTGTGGTACTCCTTCCTCCTCTATTTCTTGTGTTGCTTTGTTGTTGTTCTTCTTCTATTACAAGGGTTTGTGTGTGACCTCGACTTGCTGTGGCCCTGACTCTGCTGCTATTAGAGTCAGTCTCTTGGTATCCCGACTCTAAGTTCCTGGGAGAGACAATCAAATCAGCTCAGCTTGGGTCCAGTGTCTGGCTTGATCAGCCATGATAGAGGAGAGGGAGCAATTCCCAAGAAGGGGCCCAGCAGGTAGGCAGGTACCTCAAAATGTGTTTACTGTATTGCACAGGGAGCTGTGGCTCACTGGTGGCTATTAACTAGATCAGGGGTTGGCAAACTGCGGCTTGCAAGCCACATGCGGCTCTTTGGGTACGTTCTGTCTCAAAAGTTTGCCGACCTCTGAAAGAGCCAACCCTGTCCCTCACAACAATTTAAAAATTATTCGAGAGCTATAAATATATTTTTACATAATCACTTGTCAACAGTGATGAGACCTTCATGGGAGCTCTGAGCTGGGGCACATGGGGGATGCCCCTCCATTTGCCTTTATGTGAATAATATCCTGTAAAAATTTTATAAATGAAACTACGATAGTTTTATTTTCATTTTCAGTTTTACTTGAGAGCCACAGTTCGTGAGCCGCAGTTTGCTGACCCCTGGCGGCTCTTCTGTCTCAAAAGTTTGCCGACCCCTGCACTAGATAATCTTGATGTTCGCTGATCTAGGCTTAGCCCCACATAGAGTACTTTGATTAGCAGGGCAGGTCCCTGGGAAGATCAGTCAGCAGCATGCATCCCCTTGGTCTTCTCCCCTTCCCCTGACCATTGCCCCCGCCCCCCAGGCCCTACTTTATATGACTTACTAGCACCTGTGTCACTTTCCAGAGTACTGACTGAAAGCTCTTAAAGTATCTTTGAGGCTGTTCAGCCACGCTTGTTTATTTCCACAGGCTGGTCCTAGGCGTTCCTCTCCATTTGAGTTGGGGAATGTCCAACTTTCTGACAATTGCCTTGCTTCAGGGAATTCGTGGTTAAGTGAAAGTCATCACCACCTTGATTCTAACCAGGTTCATTAGTTCCTCTCTCTGCTTGGCAGTAAGCTTAAGGAAACAATATGCTTTTGTTTTCCCCTAAGAATGATCTCCTTGGGGAAACACCATGCAAATGACCGAGGGAGAGACCTTCTTGAGACAGATGTTCACATGACCATAGCATGAGACGCTGAGCTGTGCTGTGATGTGGGAATGCCAGAGGGTTAAGTGGGGAGAGAGCTCAGTGAGCGATTGGGTAGTATATTTGGAGAAAGTTTTACAGAGGAAGTGGGGGTAGAGCTAGACTTTGAAAGTAAGAGTTGCTGTTGGTTATGGCAGGAGGAGGAGGGGAGGACATTTCTTTTCTGGATATACGTGGCACCAGTAAAGAGAGCCTGGTTGAAGGAGAAAGTGCAAAATGGGTCAGAATAGGTAGAGGTGGTCTGGAGGAGGAGCCCAAGATATTTTGTAGTAACATCTGAGGTTCACATAAAAGCTCTGTTTTTGGAGGCTAGGTGCAGTAATTAGAGGTGTCATTTGGAACCCCTTGTATAGTGTTCTTGTATCTTCCCTATGGCTCAGAGCAGTCCCTGTTCAGCTGGGGTAAGGTGCTGGGATCCTCAACACAGGGCCTAGAATCACTGAGGTATGTGCAGACCTGGAATGGAAAGCCAGCAATGCTGACAGGAGCCTAGGGAACACACGTAGACCCCACCTAGAATCGGAGGTTTGGATAGAAATGAGGGTGGGGAAGATCAGTGGGGTCCATGTGAGCTTAGGGATGGTAGTTAGCCTCTCTCAGTCTCAGTTTTATTATCTATAAAATGGGAGTAGGAATGTCTATATTTTGGAGTTTTGAGAATCAATTGAGAGGATGTATGTAAAATTGTCAGGCACGTGTCAGTGTTTTTTTGTGTGTTTTTTTACACTTACATGCAAAACATTGTTTTTCTAATTCCTAGGTGACCTGCTATCTCCATTCAAATTCACCTCATTTATTCATATTTATTTATTAAAGATTTTATTGAGGAATTGGGGGTGGGGAACAGCGTTGGGGAATCGGGAAGGGGAACAGACAAGTTACTGTCCTTTTGTTCTTTAGTCTAGTTGTGGAGGACGTTGCTTCACTGGCCCATGTTGGTATTATCATTGCGCTTTTCCCGGGTGAGGCAGATTGGTTGCCGGCCATTGGCCAGCCGCTCACGGTGGCTCACGGCAGCTCACGCCAGCTGCCAGCCACTCACGGTAGCTTACGGGAGCCCGCTGTAGCAGGGGCTGCAGCCTACGCTGTAGCTGGCGACTCACAGCAGGTCAAGCTGTTGTTCACCGTCTTAGCTGTAGAGGGCAGTGTCACTGGCCCTCATGTGGGATCCGAACTGCTCAGAGCTGGAGTCCCAAGCCAACTCTTTTTTTTTTTTTTTTTAAGCTGAGCCATCCTGCTACCTGTTGGCAGCTCAATGGCTGCTCAGCTCGGGCCAGGAATCGAACTGCTGTTGCTCAGAGCTCAAACTCTTGAGCGAGCTCTTAACCAACTGAGCCACTCAGCCGGCCCCCAAGCCAACTCTTAACCAATGTGCCACACAGCTGGCCCTTCAACTCATTTATTTAATGGGCCTTTCTTGTCCCCACTGTCTAATGTGGGCCTGGAGAGGTCTTGTGCCTTGGGTGGTTTGGAACCTTGGGAGTCTGAGTCGGGAAGAGTGAGTGAAGTCCACCATTCCTGGGCCTGGGAGGAATTTCCAAAAATGGTTCTGGTTGTCAAGAGTTTATGAATATGTGTTAATGCATGCCTATGTGTCTTGTCAACAGTGATGAGACCTTCATGGGAGCTCTGAGCTGGGGAACATGGGGGATGCCCCTCCATTTGCCTGTTCTGTGTTTGACTGGTCCCTTAGCTCCTTTGCCTTAGGCAAATAGGGCAGAAGTGATACACTCTAAAGAAAGGTTGGGCTTCTGTGTCCTCAGCTCAAGCCTGCCGGTGACTTTATGGTTTTCCTTCTAGGTCTGCTGACATTTGTGAACTGTGCCTATGTCAAGTGGGGCACACGTGTGCAGGATACGTTCACTTACATCAAAGTCCTAGCGCTCATTGCCATCATTGTCATGGGCCTCATTAAACTGTGCCAGGGTAAGAAGGGCCCAAGGTGGGAAGGAGGGTGGATGACTCCAGAAGTTCCCTGGGGTTCCCTGAGGAGGACGCGGGGAATCTGTTAGCTTTACTGCTCAGCTCTTTCATTTACATGCTAAACTGTGTCAGTGAGAGCAAGAGATCTGCTCCTGGGCCACTTGGGCCAGGCTGACTTGGCCAAATAGACATGAGTCAGCCCTTCCTTCAGGGCTGCTTTCCCTTGGTGTAGAGGCTAGGAGCACTGTAATAAGGCAGCCAAGGGCCTAGGAGCTTTTCAAACATGGGTCATAATTAGGTCATAAAAATAATCAGCAGGGATAGAGGGAGCCCTGCTCTGCCTCCTGTTGTGGTCTGTGATTGCCAGGCAGTGAGTAGGATGACTTGACCCTCCTTGAGAGAGGTGGGAGGGTGTGTGTGTGGAGGAGATGCTGTGTCAAAATGAGTCATTATTTTGCAGTCTTTACCTTTCATCTGGACTTGCTCTTATTCAGCATTCCTTCCCAAAGTCAGCTGTCAGAAAAATATGAAAATACTGTGAGGTTGGCACTATCTTTTCTGCAGCTTGGCTTTAGGAAGCTTTTACTTTCCTGGATTGGAGCAAATTGGCAGTGAGGGTAACAGGCCTCCCAAGATCTCCTGAGCCCTTAGAGAAATCGTGAAGTGTACTCGGGGTGCTGAGACCTCCATCTCAGATCTGTTGGATCAAACTGGTTGGTTTGGAGATAAAAAAGGCATGTTTTTAAGAAGTACCCTTGGTGATTCTTAGGCAGCTGGTCTAGCACCTTTGATCACATGTCCCAGTTTAGTACCGATAACCATTTGGATGTCCCTTGGAACCTCAGAAACATCTTGGGATCAAATTGGGTAGTTGAGTAATCCTCTCCCCAAGATCTGTGCCTTAGGAAACCACTGCTGTGTGTGATGACTGACACCCCCGGGGCATGGGCATTTCTATTCTCCCTTCTCTTGCTGTACGCCCAGCCCTTTCTGCCACATGGAGTGATGGGTCTAGGCTTTCTGCAGGGAGTGACAGCAGCTTTCCTTAGAAGTCTGGGTCTTCTTAAAAACCTGCTGTGTGTGTGTCTTCCGGGCAGCTGGGAAGCACTGCTTCCTCGGCTTTCAAGTCTAGTCTCTGGAGACCTCCAAGGAGAATAGCAAATTCCTAGGCTGGCTCTTCAAGAGTGGAGCTGACCCAGATCTGCCCCAGCCCTAGTGAAAGATAAGTCCCCAGTTCCTAAACAGCCTGTGATCTCCTGCCCCACTCAACCACAGAGCAGAGCACAGTTACCTTCGTGAGACTGAGAAGCCAAATAGTACAAACAGTCTGGTCTGGGTCAAGAGAAGCAGTTCCACAGGAAGTAGAAAAATGACTCCTTTATGATAAACAGGGTTTTCTAAAATTAGAAAGAAGAGCTGTGGCCAGCGGTGAGGTCACTTGCAGGAAGTGGAAATTTACTAGGGCTTTGGAAAAGGTGTCACATCAGAGGGTAAACAGGAATGCCCCTGCTTTTCTGAGATTTTCTAGATTTACTAAAGGTGTATGAACTGTCCTGAGGGAGCAGGGGTGGTGGTCAAGTGCAGGGAGCTGGTGGTGGTTGCTGTTCTTTTGGTGTTAAGTTATGTTTTCTCCCCCTCCCCGCTTTCCTCTTGCTTTTCTTTTCTTGACCCTCCTCCTTTCTTATTTTTTTCCCCATTCTCTCTTCCTCTTTCTTAATCCCCCTCCCCATCCTTCCCTTCTCCTTACATCTTCTATCTGCCCCCACCTTCTCTTCCTTCTCCCTGAACCCTCCCTCCCCTCCCCCCCACAGGACACTCTGAGCACTTTCAGGACGCCTTTAAGGGTTCCTCCTGGGACATGGGAAACCTCTCTCTTGCCCTCTACTCTGCCCTCTTCTCTTACTCAGGTTGGGACACCCTTAATTTTGTAACAGAAGAAATCAAAAACCCAGAAAGGTAAACGTGGGCTCGCCCTCTCACTCCCCAGCTCTCACTCCTGCCGGTAGAGGGCATGTTTGCCCTCTCCCTCTGTCTCTCATCCCTTCCTACTCCCTCTTCAACTCAGAGGGACTAGGGGTTAGGATGGGAATGAGCAAAGGTGGGAAAGCCCCTGCCTCCTGGCCCTCCTGTTCACACTGGAGGATCCCAGGGTCCTTCCTCAAGGAGGAAGTGGGCAGCAGCAGACCCAGCTGGGGCTAAGGTGTTAGGACCTTGCACTCTGGTACTGACACTGAGGCCTGGGGAGCCAGAAGTTTCTTCTGGGCAACAAAGTCCCCAGCCTGGCCTCTAGTCCCTAGAGGACACTGCTCCTTTTTCAGTGGGACCCATTGGTCCTAGTGTGGGGAGCATCAAATACTGATCATGAGCTATCTTCACAGAGAAGTGTCCCGTCCTGTCCGGTCCTCCCCCCCACCCTCACCCCCCACCCCCTCCCCGCATGGGATACAGACCTATTTCTAGGCCACATGGGAAAAAGGTGCCTCAAAGACTCAGAGGCCAGGGAACTATTAAATGTCAGAAAAAAATCCCTGGGTGAACTTTGACCCCAAGGAGAGGTTGGTTCGAGGTAGTCCTGTCTGTCTCACTTGTCCTGACAGAAATTTGCCCCTGGCCATTGGAATTTCTATGCCAATTGTGACGCTCATCTACATTCTGACCAACGTGGCCTATTACACAGTGCTGAGCATTTCAGATATCCTTGGCAGTGATGCTGTGGCTGTGGTGAGTCTCTTGGGATCCCCATTTGTTCATCATCTTATGAAACTGAATGGTTCAATCTCCCTTTCTGCAGCCACTCCAGCTCTGCAGGGCGAGGTGGTGGGGCTAGACCAGAGGGTGGATTGACTGCTCAGCAGTGAATGTGTTTGTCCTGACAGCCTAGATGCAGGAGGCCTTTGAAACCCTGTCCTATGCTGAGTGCCCCTCTGTGCTCTTCCCCCAGACATTTGCTGACCAGACGTTTGGCATGTTCAGCTGGACCATTCCCATTGCTGTTGCCCTGTCCTGCTTTGGGGGCCTCAACGCATCTATCTTTGCCTCATCAAGGTACTGTGTCTCTGCTTCACTGATAACAGACTTCACTGTTGAATTCTCTGAGGCTTTAGGTGATCCCATAAGAGCTCTTATTTCCCCCTTCTTCCTCTCAGAAATACGTGTGTGTGTGTGTGTGTGTGTGCGCGTGTGTGCATGCATATGCTTGCCCTTATGCAAACGTTTGTGTGCTGGTAGCTCATATTTCCATCTGAGGTAAGGATAGATTGGTAGGAGGTAGAAGGGAGGAAGGCAGTAGCTTGGATCAGGGACCCTGTCAGGGACCAGACTCTAGGCTCCTTGTGGGTTATGATACAGCCCCAGGATTCATTCCTTCAGTAAATGATTATTGAATACTTGCTGTGTACCAGGTACTGGCACAGGATGACTCTGCCCCTCACCTCACAGAAAACACTGAGGCCTACAGGTAGGCTCTTGCTCTCCTCTCGGTGCAGACTTAGCTATAAGAGCACCGACGTTCCTGTTGTTTCAGAGAAAGGAGCAGTTCTGCCTTGCCAGGCTGACACTGCTACCTGGTCTCAGGGTTCCACTTTTCTTCTTCAGCACTTTGCTTCCTCAGTTGACCCTTCTCTTTGGTGGGTGTTTGGTTGGAGCCATCGCTACACAAGCTTCTCTCATCTCCAGTTACAGAAGTGACAAAACAGCTTCTGCCGTCTCCCCTCTTCCTTACTGGACACATTTCTTGAGGGAGTAGTTTGCATATCAGCTGTCATCCATTTATTTACCTATTACACTTTGGCTTCTACTACCTAAAAAAATATTCTTATTAAGGATATCAGGGCAGCTGGATGGCTCAGTTGGTTAGAGCGCGTGCTCTTTAACAATAGGATTGCTGGTTCTATTCCCACATAGGATGGTGGGCTGCGCCCCCCGCAACTAGAGCAAAAACTGCAACTGGACTTGGAGCTGAGCTTGTGCCCTCCACAACTAGATTGAGAACAACGACTTGACTTGGAGCTGATGGGTCCTGGAAAAAACACACTGTTCCCCAATAAAGTTTAAAAAAAATTAAAAAGGATATTAGTGATCTCCTTCTTAGCCTGCATTCAGTCCATATCCTGCTGGACCCACGAATCAAGTGATGCTGACAGCCTTCCACACTACTTCTAAAATGATGCCTGTGGCCTCTGTGATATACTCTGGTAGCTGAGAAGGTTTCTTTCCTGATTTGTCTTCCACTCACCCTATAAATGTTGCTATCCCCAAGGCCAGGAGTGTAATAGGCATTCAATAAATATTTGCCACATGAACAGATAGGAGGATGAATCAACGAAAGAAAGTTTTGTCCAGGCCAGCCGAGTGGCTCAGTTGGTTAAGAGCTCACTCAAGAGTACGAGCTCTTGGGCCGGCCGAGTGGCGGGATGGTTAAGAACTCGCTTGGGATGCCAGAGGGCCCCGGTTCGGATCCCACATATGAGGGCCAGTGACACTGCCCT